GAAGTCTCTGGAGACAGGAGTTCAGCATTCTGGAAGGAAACGGGGAATGCTGAGAAGTTTCTCTTCTGCTCAGGAAATTAGAGTGCCTTTTCTTTAGGCAAAGAAAGGCAGATCATGGCCACAGGAAAGTTAGTTACCTGGATTTATTATTCCAGAATTTAATAGCAAGCTGCTGAATGGTCTTCCATGGTTGGTGGTGAAGTAGCCACTAAAACAAGCAGCATAAAACTCCAACAGCCACAAGATGCCTCTTTTAGCAAACCAAACAGTACCCATGACAAACTGTTGCCCCTCCTATGAAGTTATCATTCTCTTAATCAGCCCTCGGGATTTGAAACAGTTGTGCCTCCTGGCTACAAAAAAACATTACCCACCCCAGTAGTTGGTCTCAACCAGAAAGAAACAGGACACTTGACTGATCTGATATACTACATCATATTCTAGAGCAGACATACTTGGGCAGTTCATCTCTAGAATGAAGTCAGAAGAAAATATTTCTCCTCGTCATCCATTTTCAGTTCATCTCGTCAGTAGGCAACTAGTTTCTCCATTTGCCCATTTTAGAACTGAGGAGGAGGCAAGGAGAGGGATCCCAGGGGCTTGGGAACTGACCATGCTGCCACGACGGCTGCTCCCGTGACTGCCTGACCCACCAGCACGACTATGGCAAAGGGCATCAAAGGCCAGGATACCCCCGACACAGTCTCCAATCAGCAACACCTGTTGGGGGAGAGAAAAATGACCTGCTAATAGAAGAAGCTCAAGGCATCAGCATGTTTTCTTGCCAGATTTTCAAGAACGGACCCAAAAGACATATTCCGCCTCTTCTCTACAATGGGTTGTGAATGGAATAGCTGAGGAAGTCTACAAGAGTTTATATTCAAGAACCCTTTGCTCTACACCACGTCCCCAAAAAACTACTGGGAAAATATAATGCATACTAGAGGAGCATTTCCCAAACTTGGCAACTTTAAGGTGTGTGAACTTCAACTCCAAGAAGTCTCTAGCCAGCCATGAAATCAGACAATTACTAATTACTACATTAGAAATTTTCTAATTTCTAAAATGAGAAAAATAACTTTTCTAATTCTGCACAGTGCACAACCGTTGCGTGGTCAGATGAGAAGAGGCTTCTAGTCGTTAAAGTTGTGGGGAAATACATAACCTTGAAATCATAAGCAATCTGAAGACTCAATTGCTATGATTGTTATGGTAGTCTCAGACATCTTGCAAATATTAATGTTGTTAAAAAAAAGGATCTTTGTAAAGTAGCAGTTGCCATATCCAAAAGCTTGATTTCTATTGTCACCCCTGTGTCTCTGTTTCTATATATTGTCCCAATGTTTTCTGAAATACTTTTTCCAATAAACATCGCAGCTCTGTTTTAAAAGGAAAAAACACAACAGGATGCAGATCTAAATATCTGTTCCACTGGAGATATGTGGACCCACAGGAAATAAAGATTCCCCCCCCCTCCCGTGTTCTAGCTTTCTGCATCCAACTTTCTATAGCAGCTCTGAAAATTGCAGGAAATCTAACCTGGCCACAGAAGCCTGTGCCGTCAGGGGAATGGATGAAACTGGCATAGGCCTGGTTGGTGCGGGAAATGACGGTTGCCACGGCACTCTGATAACTGCCCGAAGAGGTTGCAAGCAGAGGCAAAGCAGCCAGTGGGATGTGATCTTGGCTACTGGACAGACTGTCGCCATCGTGGCTGTAGGGACTGAGTCTAGGAAAGGAGTTGAAAGGAACGTCAAGTTGAAAAGAACGTCAAGAACCAATCTAAAACAGATGCAACTTATGTCTTTGTAGAGAGCTAAGAAATTACATCCCATGTGTAATTACCCAACCACGTATTTTTATATACATGTCTGGGGACTAAAAGACCAATCATCTACCGTGCCACTGACAAACGCAGGCATTCTCTACACAGAGTTTAAGAAATGGCCATGGGCCAGCAATCATTTGAAATTAAGGCCTGTAGTAAGAGTGTAGCCCAATATTCAGCGCTCTGAGCAGCTGAAGAAAGAGAGACTAACACTGAACAGTCCTGTCCAGCAATCTCCAGTGTTTGCCCAAAGCAAAGTTCACTTTCTTGGGTACTCGCTCTGAGTGGCACATCACAGACTTCAAGTGCTTTACTTGACTCCACTATACACAAGAACAAGTGTATAGCGTGTATGGGGTATTGTATTTTCTTCTAGAGCCCAGAACAACAACAACAACAAAAAACAACTACTACTACTATTGATAGAGCAGGTACCACTGCCCTCACTAAGCTCCTTCACACTCTAGTTGCCTGCAATTCTTGTTTTTTCAGGCAGACAGCCCAATAGCACTACTCGCATCAAGTCTTCAGCAGCTTGAAAAAAACATGCTTCCTACTTGGAGACCAGGGCATAGGCAGCAGCGCAGATTGGTGGACAGGGCACTAGGCGTAATGCTATGTGCCCCAGTGCTTCAGGAAAGTGCAGTCGGGTGACGGAGTCCAAGGTAGCAGTGAACGTATGCACATCAGCCTGTTTGGAGCCTGGTTCTCCTACACCCTGGTCTAGGATGTTGCCACTGTGGAGGATCAGGAAAAGGGCGTGAATGCGGCACGACCCAGAGAGCCCTTCTGAGCCAACCTACGGAAAGATACACAAGGAACTGTGAGGACGAGATCTATTGAAGGAGGTGACGCATATCATCCAAGTGGGATGGGGGGGAGGGGAGTTAAAAGTGGCCATGTACTGCAGCCAAGGTTGTGAAAAATTAGCTAAGGCTATGACAACAGTAGTCATCACAAGCCCTCTCCAACGGCTTGGGGCCACAGTAGCTGAAGGTAGTGAAATAGGAATGCCGTGTTGCAGGCATGGGTTTCCTCACCTCTGGTGGGCCAGGCACAGGGACACCGTCACTATCTGACTTGGTTACTCCAGTCGCATCAACTGCAAAGGAAATTTATACTGCACTGAGTGGCAAAGTGACAAAAGGCAAAGGGCCAATGACGGACTCCAGAGGTCAGAAAGGGCAGTGCGTGTAGGCTAGGAATGCATGCAGAAGAGCGGTCTTCCCAGGTACATTCGAAGGGCAGAGAGAGAGACCTTCATCAAAAGTGCCATTTCTTACAACAATAAGCAAAGAAGTTTGAGGGTGAGCATGGGAAAATAATACTGCAGAAAAACGTCTAACTTCTAATGCAGAAACTAGCAGCAGTGATTTTGGCTTCTTCTAACTTTAATAGAAAAGTTCTACGTTTAAGAAAAGGTTCAAAATACTTGACTGTTGTTTTTTAAAGTAAATTAAAAAAATGACAGGGTGATTTCCTCGATCAATAGAAAGAGAAACAGCTTTCAGGGGAAATCCTATTTTCCTTTTCCTTCCCTTCATTTTTATTAATGAAAGACCTTTTTAAAATGTTGCCATAGCTCTAAAACATTTCAAATATACAATAAAACTACATGAACATTTAAAAAAAAACAATTACGGTTTTGCAAATTTTGAAACAAAACCCGTGATTTTTTTTAGCAGTTGAGATAGCTGGACCAAAATATCCGAAATTCTCCTGCCGTTGTATAAGGAACACAGAAAGGAATGTCTCTTACCTAGAACATCATCCCGTTCATTGGGTCGCTCCAGAGTATCAAGGAAATCATTTGAATTCCACTTAGTGATTTCCTTTGCAAACACATCGTCATTGTCAGAGAAATCCTCTAAAATGAAAAAGGCATGGATAAGATACGTGCAGTCTAGTCATTGCAAATAGACTGAAATGCCCACCATGGTTAAAAATCAGGAGTTAAGAAAGAAGGGATCATTTTAAAAGGAAGGTAGGCACATTAGATGACTGTCTCTAACAGTCCTCCAGATTCTTATGCAGAATCCTTTTCTAGCTTTGCAGTCCATCATCTGCGGAGTCCTTGGTGCTCTCTGAGCTTCGTTGTTTGCTTGCAGGCATTCCATTACCCAACTAGGTAACATCATCAATGACAGTACATGTAGGTTTTGCTCCCTGTGCATACAGTAGTCGGCCATCCTAGTTTTGGTGGGTGGGGTATGCTATTCTCCTTGGTAGTTCCTTGATTAATGTAGCTTTCTGCCTGATTGTTTGTCTGATGTTAATCTGCCCTACATAGTGGCAATTATAGTCCTTGCACTGAATCTTGTAGATGACTCATTTTTAATTTTGGGGCTACTGGGTTTTTTGGTTTGCTTACGATTTTTTGAGGGCCTCAGTAAATAACTATTTTTTTAACAATGGAAGTTACAACGGCATTAAATGAGTGGTGGTCACAACCAGTTCTCAAAGTTCTGGCCGTCTAAGCAACTCCAGTCATGTGATTGCGAGACAGGTACTTGGAAACTGGCTCACACGTATGACAGATGTCCCATAATCACATGATTACAATTTGCAACCTTCCCTGCTGGATACCCACAAACAAAGTCAATGGGGAAGATGGCAAGGAGTTAAGCACACACCTTCCCTGAGTTTCTGCTGCAGCTCCCTGGCCATTCACGCACCCTCCCCAAACTTCTTGGCACCCATGTGGCGCCTCCCCAGCCACCTTTCTCATCTGGCAGCAGCCATCCCAAGCCCGTAGCATTTGCGCTGTGCCTCCCTGCTACTTGCCTACCCTCCCCAAGCTTCGATGCCTCACAACAAACCTCCCTGGCAATCTCCCTCCTGGCAGCAGGAGCCACCCCAAACCCCACCGTGCTCATGCCTCCCCGGCTATCCATGCATCGGCTACCCTTGCTCCCTTTCTCATCTGGCAGGAGCCACTTACCTACTGGCTGGCCTGCTTGCAAGCCACCTGACCACTTTCTGCTGGCTTCCCCACTGAGTTTGCTTGGAAGCTGGTAGGAAATTGTGAGGTGGTGCCTGCTTAACAACCCACTGTCCTCGCTTAACAATAGCAATGGGACCACAGAGATTGCCACTGCTTACTGATGCACTCGTGTGATGTTGAGTTTTATGACCATATCCCTTAGCGATGGAAATTCCAGTAAAAATTACTGTCACAACTCAAGGGCTACCTGTAGTTGGACTGTGTGCTATACTGATGTTGTGGTGTTGTAAACCTTGTCTGTTGTTTCTGATATGCTAATGCTACCCATTTCGTAGCTTGTGCTAGTTGTGCCATTGTGGGTTGAGTGGTCAGGCACCTTTAAATAAAGTTGTGTGACTAATGTTGTATAGATGGTGTGGTTTTTTTGGGGGGGGGGGTTTGTGCTTGTTGCTGCAATGCATTTACATTCATCTGAATAATATTACATAGCTCCTCTTGAGGGAAGTTGAGTTGTTACTTTGGTAATGGAGGACTTGGGTTACTGTGGGTTGTTGTACGAGGATTGTAACAGCTATTATGTAGGACAGGCAGGCGGAAGATTAGCAGAGTGCGTCTGTGAACACCAACTAAAAGTCAAAGGCATGATGAAAATTCCTAAATCTCCCAGTACATAAACAGAATCAACCAGTTTCAAGTGGGAAACTTAGCATATTAGACCAAATATGCCAGGGAATTCCTGGAAGCTTGGCATTCAGAAAAATCAGCCACCAATAGACACATAGTGATAAACCACAGTTACATTCAAAAGAGGCTATATAAATGCTAAGAAGGAAACAAAAAGACTAGAATACGTCCTCTCCAGCAGCCAAAACCCATATAAGCAAGGATTAACGCCAGGCAAACAGGCAGAAAACAAGACCCTAATCAAGAAACTACCAAGGAAAAAAAATAAATTGGCAGGGCAAGCTACTGTATATACCAGAGGTCCCCAACCTTTCAAGCACCAGGGACCGGTTCCCTGGAGAGAGGTTTTTCTGCGGACCGGAGGGGATGTGGTTTCATGTACTGCCTGCATCCCGCAGATGGGGCTTTGCTTGTTTGCAACGGTCGGTTTCTGGCATGCCCCGGCCCAGTGCCGGTCCACGGACCGGGGGTTGGGGACCCCTGGTATATATAACAAGCAAACCGCACATATGCTGATAATGTTACCTAGTTGGGTAATGAAATGTCTGCCAGCAAACAACAAAGCTTAAGGAGCACCAAGAACTCTGTAGTTCAATATGTGAGCTACATAGTGGACTGGACAAGTGTTGGTTTGATGGAAGGTAGCTTCCTATATTTCCTATGACACTTGATCACCATATATACAAAAAAAACCCCCATGTGCTTCTACAACTAAGCTACGAATTATCTGTTTTTATATGGGCATGCCATCTCTTTTCAAAGAGTAAGGATAAGAGATTCTGATCCTTCCCTCACCATATAAATCCATACAAATCCAACTCTCAATACATACACTAGAGAATTAGTTCTTACAGAACTGAATCTCAAGTCTTGGAACCAAAAGCAGCTACCTGCCATCTACAGATGAGCCTGAGCTCAAGTCTTCTCAGAAGCAAATACAGTGTAGAATCATGCAGCAGGTAGTCCTCGACTTACAACACTTCATTTAGTGACCGTTCAAAGTTACAACAGCACTGAAAAAAGTGACTCATGACTGTTTTTCACACAACCGTTGCAGCATCCCCATTGTCACATGATTAAAATTCAGATGCTTGACAACTGGTTCATACTTATGACAGTTGCAGAGACATGTGATCACCCTTTGAGACCTTCTGACAAGCAAAGTCAAGGGGGAAGCCAGATTCAATTAACAACCATGTTAGTAACTTAACAATTGCAATGATTCACTTAACAACAGTGGCAAGAAAAGTTGTCAAATGGGGCAAAACTCACTTAACAAAGGTTTCACTTAGCGACGTAAATTTTGGGCTCAATTGTGGTCGTACGTTGAGGACTACCTGTACTCTGTTCAATATTACAAACCGTGAGCATCGAAGAATTCCTCTTCGGAACTGTTCTCAGAGTCCCGGGCAATATTTTGCATCCGCCATTCTGATAAGCTGTGGGGAGACACTGCAACTGCAGAGACATATCAAGTGAAATCCTGATGACCAAGAGAGCTGGATAAAGATGGTCATTCTTAAGCACCAACAGGAACACTTCTTCATTACAGTAGCTACGATCATTCGAATCAATAGTATCTCACAATGCAGTTTGCTTTACTGTCTCAATTTTCTGAATTTCTGATTGCAGAAAATTGCAGGAAGTCCTTAAATTTTACAGACAAGAGCAGAATAGGAAAAGGGAGCAGGCCAGATTACAACTCCTAATAGAATCAATTTCACAATAAATATTCTGCAAAGAACTACCTTCCCTGTATATCAATATCTGTTTCCACCTTTTCATGGGTTCTTTTCCTTCTTTAAGTTCCAAATACGAGAAGTACAAAGGAAAACAAAAACAAGGATTGCTATCGTGGACACTGTAATATGTACCCTATCTGATTTTTTTAAAAAAAAATGTATATAAATATTCATAATAACGCCATACATCTCCACAATGCAAAAAAAAAGGTAAAGTATTTCAAATGAGTCAAAAATCAAATGAGTCAAGAGCTAGTAGGCCAAAAATCCTTTGTGAAAAACTACACCAATATTACCTCCAAATAGAAGAGTAGTTAGTCCCTGACTATAGTCATAGCAGAGGTAACCTTGGCCACTTTATGACTTGTGGACTTCAAGTCCCAGAATTCCTCAGTCAGCCATGCTGGCTGAGGAATTCTGGGAGTTGAAGTCCACAAGTCATAAAGTGGCCAAGGTTAGGGACTCCTGATCTAGAATGAAATGTGAATGAATTTCATTCTTTCTCACAACTTTCGCACCTCTGCAGTGAGAGTTTGTTTTCATCAGTGTTGTATTCTTCCACAAGTTCCTTTCTATTTGTTCCAGTGATCACTCACCAGCATGTTGAGAAGAGTAGGAGGACCGAGAAGAAGTTGACCACTGCTTTGCAAATGGGTCATCTGGAGAGGAATCGGGAGCCCTCAGGCTATCAACTCTGTCCTGTGTCTCATGGCCACTTAACTCAGCTGGGCATTCAGGGCTGGGCACACCAGGACCTAATTCAGGTTCTACGCACGTAGCCATCTTCTGAGCCAGCATACGAGCTGTTTCCTCCTCCAACCTTCGAATGTCATCCATTGTGAGGTCTATCCATTCGTCCTGCCAACACCAGGCCTGCCGATGAGCTCGCAGCATCACTTTCCGTAGACCTACAACAGGAAGCCGTTCAGGAATCACGATGGCATAGCTCTTCCCAGACACACTGCACTTTGGTTAGGTATAACTTGAGCTCCTCGATACATTAAAAAGAGATTAAATGCTATTTACTTCGTGAGTGCTTCTTCCCCTGCTTTTTAGTAATTTAAAGGATTACAATCCAGTTCAGATTTAAAAAGAGAAATTCAATTTTAGAGAATAAGAGGAGCTAGCAGGATTGCAATTCTTTTTCTTTTTTGCCTATAATGATGCAAGATCCATTTTGGCATTTTATTTACCCGTAACCAATACATGAGTATATTTATTTATTTATTTATTTATTTACTATACTTACGTAGCCCCCTATCTCACATGAAAGTGACTCTGGGAGGCATGTAGCACTTAACAAAATAGTAAGTAGATAAAAACACACTTACAAAATAACTATAAAAAGGCAAATAAACAGAGAGGATGATATTAAACCATATCAAGGAAGCCATTGCAAAATCTCCCTGATTCCCTGGGACCCCCAGGATTGATGACATAGCCACATCTTGAGGGGCTTATGGAGTGGAGAGGTGGAGCTAATCTTATTGGGAAGGGGGTCCCTGCTAGATGTAATTCCTCTGCTAAAATCAGAGGACAAACTAGTAGTCAGGCATGGAGATAATCCCTTGGGTTAAATTGAAACCAGTGTCTCTAAACCAATCTACGTTATTCACATACTGATTTTGTGGAAAAAGTGGAGTAAGGAATCTAAACTTCTACAGACATACTGAAATCAAAAGATACTGTACCATCCCATTACTACCATTTCACTGCATCCGGCATGCCATTAGACAGTTGTGGCTTAGCCTGTTTGTCTAACTTCATATCACAAAACTTTATCCTTAACATGACATGACTATTTCTGACACATAAGTTTAAACTGAAGAAGACATCTCACTTTTTTTTCAATCTGAACTCTTTCAGAAATTCAGAACTCATGCTCACATCCAAGCAAAACTTATTGTATCCAAATTACATTGGGATCTTATCATCCTAATAATATCTCATGTCAGCTACTACAACCAGGGACACAGTTTAAATGAGCAGATAATACAACGTAGCTCAATTTTTTTGTCTGGGAAGTGCTGCACAAAATTGGATGACAGTTCTGTTCATGTCAGAAGCTGATTTACATGGATAATGCCATTAAGCCTTTAGCATCTCCTATTTTATGCAGCTGATTCTAAACAAATTTTCCCAATCTAATATTATGCTTAATAGGAAACCATTATTTTATATTATCTATGTTTTTGAAGCCTTTTGAAATCTGGGCTGCTCCTTCAACACTGCTGTCAATACAGTTGCTTCTCTCTTTCTCTGGATTCAGCCTCTCTGGGTTTCTTCTACTGCCTGAAACCTTTCTCTTACATGGTTACTACCCCTAATACTTCTGAGGTCACAGTAAGAAAAGTATCTCACAAGCAACTAACCAATACATCAAAAGCTCTTGGGTGCATTTTTACCCCAAAGGGTAGAACTGGACTAGAGCAGTTGTTAATCAGCAACACAGAGGAAAAAAGCCCAATTCCTTACCAATTTCATAGATAACGGAAAATACATTTAGAGTTGCCATATGCTAGAAAACTGTAGATCCTGAACAAATGCCTCGTAATTAGCAGAGGAATATGAACAGTATTGGTTTTCAAAGTGGCAGAGGGCCCAATCATTTATTTTCAGCCCAGAAATAATGATTCTGAACATTGTGCAACGTAAATTGTCTTTTTAATATAGGGACCACAAGGGAGGCTTAGAACTGCTAATGGGCCAGTATTAAATCAGATTTCACATTAGAGTAGCTTTAATGAAATTAATATGGGAAGGGCAGCTTAGTAGAAAAGGTACTGCACAAGTACTGCTACTAGAGAGGAAGTGGACACCATGCCTCTGCCAGCACAAGTATAGGATCAATCATCCTATCCTACTGCCTAAGCATACAGTGCGGCCTATATTAGCTAGCTTCAGCATGCCACCGTTATGGGACCTGTGGCCCTCCAGATGTTACTAAATTATTACCATGGCAATGTTGGATGGAGCTTCAGAGAGCTACAGTTCAACATCAGGAAGAACCAAAGTACCCACTACTGCCACAGATCTTTGTTTGCTGGATGAAAAAGAATGCCAATGAAGATATCATGCTTACCTACATCATGGATGAATTGTTCAATCTTAGACTGCATGCCCCAATAGCGAAACTCCACCTTGCAAAGCTTGTAAGCACACATAAAAGGCCCAGAATTTCCACTATCTAGCCAATCATCTCCTAGAGGTCCACGTCCCGTTTTCAACGAATGATACAGTCGTGGATCTTCCTCTATCTTGTACTCACTGGGTGAGATGGGATCCCGTACAATATCAATAGTATCTGTGGGTAAGTAGAGGAGGTTTGGGGGGGAAAAGATTAATTGTAGGAAATTAAAATAATCTTACTTGGATTTCTCAAGCTGCTACTCCTTCTCATCTCAGAATTGGTTCAGATGCTCAGCTACATTCCTGACTACTCTCTTGTATAGTGAACATCTGTTTTGCCAGAAGTCTGCTAGCTGTTCTTCCACTCCTGGTGTTTATAACAGCAGCATTCTCCAATCTATTGTCCTCTAGCTGCATTGGATTTCAACAATGGAATGATGATTGGAAATTCAACATGTGAAAGTTCATAACATCTACATCAGGGGTGTCAAACTGCCGGCCCGTGGGCCAGACACGTCACGTAGAAGCCGCGCCCACCCCATTGCCAGTAATGGCAAAACAGTCCCAATACGTTGTGCGATGTCGCATGACGTCGCGAGTTTGACATGTCTGATCTACATGGAGTGAAGTCTTCACAAGGCTGGTGAAGTCTGTCTTACAACACAGCACTTTATATGCCATGAGTGAAACAGATGCCCACTGACTTATATCTCAGTCACTTATTGACCCTAAATATCATCAGATAACCATCATCGTTCAGCCACTCCTGCACAATCAGTTGTCAGCATAGAAGCATTCACACAATACTACATTCTGATAACTTAAAAGTGACAGAAAACTCACCCACAATCCTTTGCCTGCGCTCTGTAACATTTAAATTGAAGATATTGGTTTGCTTTCCAGCATCTGGTCGGTAGTAAGTCTCAATCTCAATTGAAAATTTCTCCACAAAGGGGCATGTGTATCTATAAAAGAAAGGATGAAACTCATAGTTCTACCTTTACCACTTTGGCAAACTCCACAACCACATCTTCCAGCCCCCTACTGCCTTCCTCTCACCTAGTCCGTGTGTAAGGGTAGGCATTCCAAGATTCTTCCTCCACCTGAAGAGCAGCCTTAGGTAGGAGGGCACGAAACCAGCTAGGAATATGAGAGCCCACATGGTAGATCTTATGTGTATATTGACCACTTCCTCCTGGACCATCATCATAAGGTCGGTTGGACAGGATTTCAACCCCACTGCCTTCACCACTGGATTCCTCACGGCTTTTCTTCTAAGGTGGTGGGGGGGGGGAGAGAGATCTTCAGCTTGCAATCTATACCTTTTGCTCTTTGCATCCCTCAACCTGCTTGGCTTCGGTCCTGGATTTAACCCCAAAACTCTATCTGGTTATATAAATATCCATCAGCCTGCTCTATCTATCTTAACTGATGTTACCTGGATCATGTAAAGTTGGGCCACCTGGTATTCGGTCAGGCTCATGGGCAGCAGTATATGGTATTCTTTGATCAGCATTTTGACTGTCAGATCCTGTGAGTTGAGACAGAGTAGAGGGCAGATAAAAATGTGCAGCCAAGACAGCCTATTTGTGGCTGTGGGACACTTAAAAATATAATACGAAAATGGGATCCCAGACAATATTAAAACAGCCTAAGAAAACTGTTTTGGACAACACAGCTTAACTAAATAAAAGATATCTCCCAAATGCTCACCTATATCATGAAGGGTTGTTTTTTTTTGTATCAGTCAGATTGACGTGTATTTATTTTTATTCTCATCATCAGAAAACTATCGTATGTCAAAATGAAGTATTATGTAAGTATGGAAAAGAGTTGCTGGTCAAAAGTAGTAGCTTAAGCCACATTCTTACTTCCTCAGATGAGAAGCTGGAAAGAAATCCCTATCTGACCTTATTTCAAAACCCAATCCACTGGGTAAGTTTCCATAGCAACTCTTAAGCAAATGGGAGGCTAGGGAGTTTTGACATAGCAAAAGGGAAATGTGGAAGGAAGTAAAATAATAGCATCTAACACTCTCAGGTCTTTTACATCTTCCGGACCATGTCAGTGGTTCCCAAACTTTGCCATATTATGATCTGAGAAAAAGAAATTGTGCCATCTCCCACGTGTAAATAAATGTTTTCACCGGGACTGGGGTGGGGCAAGAAACAAACCTAAATTTACTCGTAATAATTACATTTTAACCTATATAGCAAATAAAACAGTGGCAGAACTTTTTAAAATAACATATTACTTTGGGGGAAAAACAAAAATACAATTTAAAACTATTTTTTAACATGAAGAACTAATTGCCTTTTTTGGCCTAACATTTGAAATTGGAATTCCAATTTGAAAACCACTTTCTCATTTACCAAGTCAGGGAGGAAAAAAAAAAAATACTGCCTTGCCCAAAATCAACTTTTCTTAAAACTGTTCTTAAAATGCCATAGCTTGCAGAACATGGACAGACTATAATCTGCTTTTGGTGCTCTCTGTATTAATATACTCTGAGATAACTGTCTCACACATTTTCTCCCCAAGTCTGGTGTTTGTAAATCCTTCCCCTACTGTTGCAATTTCCTTCTAGCTGCAGTCTTACAGCCCTTCCCCTCAGAAGTGATAATTTCCTATGCAGAGTGAGTATCTGGTCAGATGGTCAATTCTGCCCAGAAGCTTCATGCCTTCCATGCATGATTAACTCCTCCTCCGAAAGGCAAATGCAATATGTTAAAAGCAAACAAACATTCAGACTTCATACAGGGCTCTGGAATTGCAGGGTTACTTTGCATTCAGAATAATTTTGCATCAAGCTGTAACATTTGTGCAAAACCCACAAAAAAAGCACTCTGTGGTGATCCTCCTTCTCGTTTTCTCACAACCTCCTTTAAGAGTTCACTTTGAGAAATGCTGAAGTATGTAATTTGTTTGGTTTTGGCTTAACATAGTTTCAAAAGCAGTTATAGAGCTTACTATGTTCTGTGAAGCCAGCTATTAATAATGGCTTGTGCAACAAACAATGGCTAAGTGAACCTTGGTTAAATAAGACGTATGAATTTGTTTTATGATTTACAGACTTGTGTCAACCCAGCTAGAGCATGGAGTGCTAAAGCTATGGACGCAATTTGCTAAATCAAGGCTTTAGTCTTAGCCAAATTTATTACAACCAAGGCTTCTAGATAAATATGCACAGGGTTGTGGTGTCAATGCTGATACTCCTTGTAATTCTGTACTTCCATGATTCTGTTTATGCAACACTTTGTAATCAAGGTTTATGGAGACTTAAGGGGAGTCTCTCCTCTTCTACCAGCATGCCATGCAGAATTTAAATCATGCAGAGCTTTGCTCAGCAGTGTTGTGCAGGGAGAAGCTACTAAATCTCTGCCCATCATGCATCTATTCAAAGCACAGGAGTACATTCAAGAAAAAAGGGCCGCATCCCTCCTAGAGAGAGCTGTTTTCATGAATATCCTTTACCTGATGAGCCTATCAAATTGCTCTGGCTCTTGGCTCTTGCAACCTGCTGTTCCTGTAGCATAATCAAGCAATCACATAACTTCACATACATTATTATATCCTGCAGTATCCCTGAAAGCCAAACAGCCTTATTATTCTCATGTAAACAGTTAAGTTGTATGTTCTACTCACTAACTGGGAAAAGACAGCATACCCTATGCTCTATATTCCAGTATCAGTGTTTATGAGAAAACCTCTTCCCAAATACAAACATATTAAACCTTTCAAAATTCTGAATGTGAAAATAGAAAGCCAAAACCTGTTGAGACTTTACAGAAATAAACAACATAGATTAATATGCTATGTTTTCCATCCCAGGTATATGTATGCATGCATGCATGCATGTATGTATGTATGTATACATTTGCAAGATACTTCAGCACAAGGAGGTGAAATTCAGTGTCTCCTACAAACATATTAGAAAAACAATTCAGAATCTAACTCCTTATAAAGTCATGTTCAACAGAAATAGCTTCTAAAATAGTGTCTAAAACATTCCCATGTTTTGGCCACAATTCATTCAGGCTGCTATACATTTAACATGCATTGTTATCTCTAGTTAAGTCATCGTTTTCAAATCAGATACCCAAATTCTTACAAGCATATAGTTGATGGGAAGCTTGCTAATTGCCATAACCAATTAAGCAAAGCTCCTTAGAGGGAAATACATGTAAGCTTCAATCCTAAAACTTATTCAGGATATAAATGTAGCACTTGAATACAAAGCTAAGCATACTTAGAAGAGAAAGAAATGGGCACACTTCTGAGTAAACACACACACACAATTGATTGTTTAAATGATCTTCAGCAATTTTGTCGAAGGCTATGTATTTTTGTTTGTTGGTTGGTGTATTTCTCCTCATAGTCTATACCTAACTTTTAAAAAATAATAAGGGAAGCACCTCCCTCTCCCAAAACATGCTCGCCTTGAAAAATAACACAAACTTAACTTTGCCTAGTTCATCCACAAAGCTCAGGTTTCAATAGGTCTGCCCCATTAGAAGAAATTACCGCTCATCTTTCTCACAAGAACAAAATTTAAGTCAGCAGGTGCAGTTTACACTTCCATGTTTGGGGACGCTACCCAAGTGACTAAAGGTATGCTTGCCTTGCAGCCATTAATGGGCATAGAAGCCCTGTATAAATAAAACATGGCAACCTGACGGCTGAACCGATGGGAGGTTCGAATACACCTTTCACGTTGACCAAAGACATTCAATACAGCAGTAAATTACTGTTCAAACTACCGTTCACGCTGGCTGAATTCAACCCGCAGCAAACTGTCAGAAAGTCAGAAAAGCATTGGAATAATTGGAGCAGAAGGGACACGAGGCGCTGTCATCGCCGTCGGAGCCTTTGCTCGGGGGAAAGACTCCCTGTTGCTTTTAGAGAATGGCGACCCAAGATGAAGGAGGCCGGGCCGGGACGGGGTCCCCGCTTCAAGCCACACGAGACCTAACAGAGAAGCCGGCGAGGAGGGAAAACGTGCTGGGCGCTTGGTTTCTTTCCGGGGCCCAAGAGGCAGCAGCCTCGCCGTCTTGGAGAGGCATCCCTTCACCTCTCTTCCCACCCCCAAATCCCATGCAGTGCTATTCTGCACCCCTTCCTTTGCAGCCCAGCCGTGCCCCAAAACCGCTCCTGCGGATACCCGGCTCCTGTCCCGTCCCGCCCGCCCCTTCCACCCAGTGCAGCGCGCGCCTTTCCCCAGCCTCCCAGCCCCACGGCTACGCGTGCACACGAATCCTCCCTGCACACGCACACGCGCCACCTCCCGGGCCCAGACCTGTAGCTCGATGTAGGGATGCCGGCGATGGAAGCAGCGGTATGCTACGTCGGGGGAAGACGTCGGGGGGCGGGGAGGGAGGGAGGGGGAGAGAGAGAGTGGAGAAGGGAAAGAGACCGCCGGCCTCACTGAGTCCTCCCCGAACCCGCCCTTCCTCTGCCCGGCTCTGCCCGGCCGCCGCCGGGGCTCGGCTGCTGCGCTGGCAAGAGCATGGTTCTGGGAAGCAGCGCGGCGGGCTCGGCTCGGCCGGGGAAAGGGGTAGCACTGACTGGGATGGCTCGACGGACCGAACCGATCCTTTGCCTTCTCGCGTCACCGCGGCGGAGAAGCGCGCTCAGCCGCAGTCCTTGCGGGGGAGGGGGGAGGAGGAGGAGGAGGAGGAGGCGGGAGGGGAGCGGGCAGGGCTGCTTGTGTGAAGGAGTGTCGAAGTTGACGCGCGGAGAGACGGGCAGCGGAGGGAGAAAGGCAGGCAAAGCCTCCGGCCGAAGGTCCTCTGGGGGGAACCTCGTGGGGTTGCGGGATACTGACATGGCCGGTTCCTGGTATTCAGTGAGAGGCCCTCTCCCGAGCCTTTAGAGGTCGAACGGTCGGGTCCCCATTCAGTTTGCGCCCCTTTGAGAGAGCGGAGAACCGGAGGAATGAAAACCGGAGCTCGTGCGCCAGAGCAACTTAAGGGGGCTGCAGTTCAGAGGGAAGGCGGCTGCGCCGGCATCGGGCAGCCGAGGAGCTCGCCGGCGAAGCAAGCGCAGCCTCCAAGTCCCCGACGCTCGGGGCTCTCCCCCCCCCTCCGCCCGCCCCCCATTCACAGAGTGCAAGGCCTCCCGCCGGCTAGTCCCTTTTTAGCACAGGCGTAGGTTTCCATAGAAACTGCGACCCAGAACTTGCGAAGTCTCGGCACCTCCGAGCGCGCGAGCTCGCTCTTCCCCCGCCCATCCTTCTGTGACTTCATTGTTCGTTACCACGGAAACGCCAATGACGTCAGGTCCCAGTGACGTCAAGGACTCAAGGAATGGCGAGCTTTTTCGAAATGATTGAAATAAGCTTCGCTATTTATGTTTGGCGTGGTTGAGCTGAGAAACCAGGAGGCTCGATTTCTAGCCTCACCTTAAGCATGAAAGCCGACTGGGAGATTTTGGGCCAGTCGCGCGCTCTCTCTCTCTCAGCCCAACCCACCTTACCGTTTGTGAGGGAAAGAAAAGGAAGGCGTATTGTGTGTGTTT